GTAACAGAAACCAGAGCTAACATTTCCAGCTACCACAGAGTACGTGTCGAAATACATGAGCGCTTCCTTTAAAGATTTAACAAGCGTGAACCATCAAGGAAGTGTGGAACGAACTTAGGAAAATGGAGATAAAGAGAGGAAGGGGGGAAGGAAGGAGATATGGAGAGAGGGAGAAGGATGAAAGGGAGATAGAAATTGGAGATAAAGAGAGAAAGGGGGGAAGGAAGGAGATATGGAGAGAGGGAGAAGGATGAAAGGGAGATAGAAATTGGAGATAAAGAGAGGAAGGGGGGAAGGAAGGAGATATGGAGAGAGGGAGAAGGACGAAAGGGAGATAGAAATTGGAAATAAAGAGAGGAAGGGGGGAAGGAAGGAGATATGGAGAGAGGGAGAAGGACGAAAGGGAGATAGAAATTGGAAATAAAGAGAGGGAGGGGGGAAGGAAGGAGATATGGAGAGAGGGAGAAGGACGAAAGGGAGATAGAAATTGGAAATAAAGAGAGGGAGGGGGGAAGGAAGGAGATATGGAGAGAGGGAGAAGGACGAAAGGGAGATAGAAATTGGAAATAAAGAGAGGGAGGGGGGAAGGAAGGAGATATGGAGAGAGGGAGAAGGACGAAAGGGAGATAGAAATTGGAAATAAAGAGAGGGAGGGGGGAAGGAAGGAGATATGGAGAGAGGGAGAAGGACGAAAGGGAGATAGAAAATGGAGATAGAGAGGAGTAAGGAAGGAAGGAGATATGGAGAGAGAGAGAAGGATGAAAGGGAGATAGAAAATGGAGATAGAGAGGAGTAAGGAAGGGAAAGAAGGAGATATAGGGAGAGGGAGAAGGGCGAAAGGGAGGCAGAAATTGGAGATAAAGAGAGGAGTAAGGAAGGGAAAGAAGGAGATATGGAGAGAGGGAGAAGGGCGAAAGGGAGATAGAAATTGGAGATAAAGAGAGGAAGGGGGGAAGGAAGGAGATATGGAGAGAGGGAGAAGGGCGAAAGGGAGGCAGAAATTGGAGATAAAGAGAGGAGTAAGGAAGGGAAGGAAGGAGATATAGGGAGAGGGAGAAGGATGAAAGGGAGGCTGAAAATGGAGATAAAGAGGAGTAAGGAAGGGAAGGAAGGAGATATGGAGAGAGGGAGAAGGACGAAAAGGAGATAGAAAATGGAGATTGAGAGAGGAGTAAGGAAAGGAAAGAAGGAGATATAGGGAGAGGGAGAAGGGCGAAAGGGAGGCAGAAATTGGAGATAAAGAGAGGAGTAAGGAAGGGAAGGAAGGAGATATGGAGAGAGGGAGAAGGGCGAAAGGGAGGCAGAAAATGGAGATAGAGAGAGGAGGGAGGGAAAGAGGGAGATATGGAGGAGGGAATGTATATACGAAGAAGGGAGAAGAGCGAAAGGGATGTAGAAAATAGGGATAAAGAAAGGAGGAAGGGAAGGAAAGAAGGAAGGAAGGAGATAGGGAGGGAAGAGAGACGAGGAGACAGGGAGAGAGGGAGGAAATATACATAGGAAGAAGAGCGAAAAGGATATAGAAAATAAGAGATACAAAAAGTAAAAAGGGAGGGAAGAAGAGGAGGAAACAGAGGCGGTGAGGCAGAGCGAAAACAGAGAGGAAGAGAAAGGGAAGGAAAGAGAAAAGAAAGAAGGGAATCCCACGAAATGGGAACAGACAAGGAGACGGAAAGGGGGAGGGAGGAAGGGATAAAACGGAGGTAGAGATAGAGGAAGAGGAAAGGATGACGAGGCAAAATACACGCTTTGTGCACGCAGAAGGTCACACTACGCATATTTACGTGTTATTTTACCAGGGAGGAAAAGTAGGAGAGGAAGACACAGGGAAGAGGAAGGAAACCTATGGTGAGTGAGAGAGAGAGAGAGAGAGAGAGAGAGAAAGAGAAAGAGAAAGAGAAAGAGAAAGAGAAAGAGAGAGAGAGAAGAGAATTTCATAGAAATATGTATTTCATAAAAAATACATAAAATACGTTAAAAATCTACAAATAAAGATGGGATAAACTGTAGAATAAAAAAGGAGAGAAAAATATTGCCTAAAAATGTTAAGCTTAGAATATCACAGAATCACATTTTCACTATGATGTATGGTACTCCATACCTTTAGTATTTCCTAAGCTTAGGATGCATAAGCTGAAAAAAATATAGTTCTGTTTTTTAAGCTTATTTAGAAGATAAAATGAACTTGCTGGCGACCCTGTTCATATCCAGGTTCAGAAAACTGCTAGCCAGTATTGGAAATAATTAATCCATCACTTACCCACAATTAATCCATCACTTTACCACAATTAATCCATCACTTTACCACAATTAATCCATCACTTTACCACAATTAATCCATCACTTACCCACAATTAATCCATCACTTACCCACAATTAATCCATCACTTTACCACAATTAATCCATCACTTACCCACAATTAATCCATCACTTTACCACAATTAATCCATCACTTTACCCACAATTAATCCATCACTTTACCCACAATTTATCCATCACTTTACCACAATTAATCCATCACTTTACCACAATTAATCCATCACTTACCCACAATTAATCCATCAC